GCAGTATGTGCAGCGATGGGGGTTTTTTGTACAGTTTGGCATGCTTCCACCTATAGCAAGTTGTGTACTGATTGGTCAAACTGGAGGAGGCAATTTGCCTGTGTAACCAAGAATAAAAGCAAAGAACGCTGATTGATTGGTTAACCGCAGTGTTGGCTTGATAAAAGAGGGCTGGAACAGTGAAAAGAGGGAGAAACAATGTCTATACGTAGTGACGTGTTCAGAAAGCGAGGACGGTGAATTGAATCCAGCGATATTTTGATTTGTACAAGTGACGTTGCAGCAATACAGACTTATTTAAACTACAATTTTAAGTATACATTTTTTGGCAAACATGGACAAACATGGCCACAAAAAGTCATAGTGTCAAAAGACAGCTTTTCACATGACACTGCTTTTGACTTTTGGAAGTAGCAGCACACACTAGCTTTTGCTTCGATAGACTCGAGACCTGTAAGTTCTTCAGAGACACAGACTGAAGATTGTATTGAACTGTTCATAAGTTCAACTTTGTTTATTTCTTTATTCTTCCAAAAGGCTGCTGCTGCTGTGGAACAGACTACCTGAGAGGGTGCTTCTCTGACCACTACAATCTTTACTACTTCAAGACTAGGATCAACCGTTATCAATCTTACATATCCTCATAATCTGAAATTCTTACATCAGTAACTCTCTACCTTGATTGGCTCTTAAGTCTTGTATTGGGTGTATAATAATTCAGGCTGAGCCTCACAAAATAAAAAGATGCTGGTTAAATCAAATGTGAAGTGATTGTTAAATCCAATATTAAATCCTAGAGTTTCCTGATAATTTTTTTTTATCTGATTCTGTTGTAAAATGAATATTTTTTTTTTTAAAGACATCTGAACTAATTTGAAATATTTTAGGTGTTAATTTTAAATATACATCTAAAAAAAAATAATATTGTTGAAGTTGCTAAGGTGAATTCTTTAGTCATCGTCTCAGTTGTATATGCTGAATCCTCTCTTTCCAACCTTCCTACGTCCATGCAACAACCTCATTCAGTAACACTCTGGCTTGAGTTGCTCTTGGACCTTTTAGAGCATTGACTCCTTGGAATCTTTGATCCCTTGTGGACCCCCAGGCTTATATGGAAAATACCAATAATGATTATTTTTTATGTAAGGATAGAAATTCTTTCATCATTCTTTATCGCTAAGTCATTTTAATTTTGTTCTGTTATTCCTTTTTCAATTTCTGTTTCCGAATTTCTGGATTTGTTTGCTTGAATAATGGAGGATGTGCAGGTGGTGTAGTGGATAGTGGCCCAAAATGAGAAATTTGATTTCCAGTCTAGTTCATTTCATTCACTTGCACACAAATACCCTTAGGGAAGGTATAAATCCATTTCTTCTCTCCAGCTATGGGTTAAATAAGTCGGATGAATCTGAAAAAATTGTTGTTCTCAAAAAAATTGCTAATGCTATATTTACTTGCAAAGAAAGAAATATTCCTACAATCCAAAATATATTTCTGATTCAATTCAAAGATTTGATAAGCTGTAAAAACAAATCAATCTAACGACCAATTAAATAAAATAAATATATCTATTTTTTTCTTTTTTTTTAATCAGTCTCACCTCATGCAAGGTAGTAAAGCCACTAAAACACAAGGGGTTACAGGGTGGGGAAGAAATAGAAATGGAAACATTAATAGTGATCAGAAAGAGATGAGGGTAATCAGGAGGACAGTAGATAGCAATTGAAATTTAAATTTTTTCAGATTAATGTTGGCTTGAAAGCATGGGACCAGAAGAGTTCCACAAGCGAGAAGTTTGAAGAAAAAAAAAAACTGTTAGCATAGATCATACGGCTACATCTAGCCAGCTCAATTGTAAATTGATGAGATCTCGATGCCAGTCTAGTACTGAGTTTAATTCATAAAAGTACCATAGCAAAGAGCTCATCCGAAAAATTACCATGAAAGGCTTTATAAAAAAAAAAGTCATAGAGAAGCAACCTTATGGCGGTGGACAAGTTAGTGAAGCCAAGATAATATTGCTGACTCTTGTTTGGATTTTATCAAGGAACTCAAAGTAAACAGCAGGGGCACTGGACCATATTTAGCAGCAATATTCTAAGCATTGACGAATAGTAGACTTATAGATATGTAAGATAGATTCTGGAGAGAAAAATTGTCTCCACGATACAGTGAACTGATTTTCTTAGCAGCTGACCTAGCACTGGATTTAATATAGTCTTTCCACTTCATGTCAGCTGAGCTCGTTAACCCGAGAAGGCGTAACGAATCACTTTCCTGGAGGTAATAAATACATTAAAAATAAATTAATATGCATTTTATTGGTTGGCATTTGTTAAGCAGTAGCAAGGATGTTGAAATTTGGGTGGAAATTGGTACATTTTAATTGTAAATCCCAATACCCTCTTCCAGGTTTAATCTGCTCTACTGCTTAATTAGAATTGTATTTGTATGGCTAAAACTCACTTGGGGAATGGAGGTAAAAATGGTCCAACTACTGCACTAAGCTTGGAGTATTTAGTCGTAGTATTGACATTACTCAAATAGTCCTTAAGGTTTTTATATCTGAACAACGATTTAGCATCAAGATCAAAATATGTACCAATGAGTTCATCTTGTCACTATTTTCTGTTACAAGCACTTTTTAAAACTCAGACATTTATCAACCCCATGGATAGTCCCACCAACATCAGGAGTCATCTGAACTCGTCAAATTAAGTTACAATGTAACAGTAAAAGAAAGTATAAAATAGTGACTTAAAAAAAAATTCTGTCTATATTTTTGAGATGAGGCTTTATGTACACTATTTACATAATTCGGACTATTGTCCTCATCTTTGTTGCCATATTTATTATCAACATTTAGGCCGTTGGTCATGTCAAGATCCGGCTTTCTTCAGGTGGTTGGAATGTCAACTGAACCCTTTATTTTTCACTGGGGTAGACAGTTCTAGTTCCATGTTTACCATGTTTAATGGATGTCAGTTATCAGTTATCTCCTGTTAATTCCGTCTCTGGTTCTCTCCACTTTAACCAGGTATTGAACTCACACTCTTTGGGTCCTGTTGCTGGATCTAACTAACGTCTTTATGGCACAGTGGATAAAGGCGTTAGTTAGATCCAGTGACAGGACCCAAAGAGTGTGAGTTCAATATTTGGTTAAGGCGGTGGAGAACTTTGAGAGGGGAATTGACAAAAGATAACTGAGATCCATTAGACATGGCATGTGGAACTAGAAATAGTCTTTTTTCAGTGAAAATAAATTCCAACCACCTGAAGAAGGCCGGAGTGTTCAATGGCAAAATGTTGTGATAAACATGGTGACAAAGATGAGGACAATAGTCTGAATAATGTAAATAGTGTAAAAAAAATAAAAATAAAAAATTGTTTTTTAAGTACTATGATTTGCTTTATTTGACTCAAGGCTACAATTTTACTTCGAGGGCACTAGGTGAGGATCATAGTCTACAAGATGCCTTTTCTAGTTTGTGGTGAAGCCATTTGAAATATATTATAGATGCCATAAAATCTAAGGCTTTGTTAGCTTAATTTATCTTTATTTACGCCACTTAGCTTAGTTTGGCACAAGGCCCCAAATATGGAGCACCCAGTGAGAACCAAACTGATTGCTTAGTACTAATGACCAACCAGACTAGCTTATTAACCATTACCCCATACTGAGGCAACTTAATAGTTATTTACTAAGCTTAACTAGTAAGCTTAATTAGCTTGATTAGTTTAGCATAAGGTCCCAAGTATGGAGCACCTAGTGAGGACCAAACTGATTACTTAGTAGTAATGAGCAACCAAATTAGCTCATTAACCATTACCTCATATTGAAGTAGCCTAATAGTTATTTGCTAAGCTTAACTTAGTTTAGCACAAGGCTCCATGTATAGGACACCTAGTGAGGTACTGAACAGATTATTTGTAACAATGACCAACCTGATTAGCTTATCAACTGTTACCCCATGCCAAGAAAAAATGTCATGAAATTTGGGGCTTTGTTGGCCTCATTGTTTGTCAGATTATTCTGAAGAATGATGGCGACATGGCTGAAGTATCTTGAACTTAAGTCTTTTTGGCCAGAAATCAAGGATCTGCCTATACAAGAGATGTGTTCGTATCCAAATTTATATTCTCTATGTAAGTAAAGCAGATTTGTTGAACAAGTGGGTCTGGTTGGGTTTAGGCTAGTTGGTTACTGATAAGGGATGCCACAACGGCTGATGATAAGTGCTTGCCAGTAGAGGAACATGGTGCAAGTCCAATTTGGAACAGAGCAAAAGAATGAAAGAGAGAAAAGGAGGAAGATAGAAAGAAAATGAAAGTGGGGTGGAGAGAATACAGAAGGACCAAGAGATAGAACGAGAGAGAGAGAGAGAGAGAGAGAAATATAAGAGGATGAAAAAAGATTGAGAATGAGGGAAAGAAAACAAATAATGTGAGAGAGAGAAAGAAAGAAAGAGATTGTGGAAGGGAAGACAGAATAAGAGAAAACAGGAAATATAAAAGACTGAAAGAAAAAAACAAGTTGAAGACCAAAAGAAAGAGAGAGAGAAAGAGAGAGGAAGAAATGACAAAGAACAAGAATGATAAAGGGAAGACAGACAGGATGAGAGAGAGAGAGAAAGAATGAGAGAGAAAGAGAGAAAGAATGAGAGAGAAAGAGAAGAATTAGAGAGAAAGAAGATAGAACAAGAGAGGAACTGAAAAAGAAAGAACAAGAGATAGAAAAATAATGAGATAGAGGAAGAGAAGACATAAAAATCAAGAAATAGAAAAAGAGAGAAAGAGAAAAATCCAGAAAAGTGAAAGAAGAGTGAGAGAGAATAAGAAAAAAGAAGAAAAGAAACAAGATAGAAAAGCAAGAGAGGGGGAATGAGTAATAAAATAAAAAAAATGGAACAAAAGAGACAAGATAGGAAATGAGGAAAAAAAAATGGGGTGGGATGGAATAAGAGATAGAAACATAAAACAAGACAGAATGTGAGAAATAGATTTTGCTTTTCTTTCTTTTTCTTTTTCTTTGCTTTTTCTTTTTCTTTCTTTTTATTTTCTTTTTCTTTCTTTTTCTTTCTTTTTATTTTCTTTTTCTTTCTTTTTATTTTCTTTTTTTTTTTTTTTCTTTTTAATTTCTTTTTCTTTTTTTCCGCTTTTTTCTTTTTTTTTTTTTCTTTCTTTTTCTTTTTCTTTCTCTTTCTTTTTCTTTCTTTTTTCTTTTTCCTTTCTTTCTTTTTTTTCTTTCTTTTTTCTTTCTTTTTCTTTTTCTTTCTTTCTTTTTCTTTTCTTTCTTTTTTTTTATCTTTCTTTTTTTTTTTATTTCTTTTTTCTTTTTTTTTTTCTTTTTCTTTCTCTTTTTTCTTTTTTCTTTTCTTTTTTTTTTCTTCTTTTTCTTTCTTTCTTTCTTTTTTTAAATTCTTTTCTTTTTTTTCTTTCTTTTCTTTTTCTTTTTTTTCTTTTTTTCTTTCTTTTTTTCTTTTCTTTCTTTCTTTCTTTCTTTCTTTCTTTTTTTCTTTTTTTTTCTTTCTTTTTTCTTTCTCTTTTTCTTTTCTTTCTTTCTTTCTCTTTTCTTTCCTTTTTTCTTTTTCTTTCTTTCTTTTTCTTTTTTTTCTTTCTTTCTTTCTTTTTCTTTCTTTCTTTCTTTCTCTTTTCTTTTCTTTTTCTTTTCTTTTCTTTTTTCTTTCTTTTCTTTTTTCTTTTTTCTTTCTTTTTTTTTCTTTCTTTTCTCTTTTTTAATTCTTTCTTTTTTTTTCTTTTTTTTTTTTTTCTTTTCTTTTTTCTTTTTTCTTTCTTTTTTTTCTTTTTTTCTTTTTCTTTTTTGCCAGAAGGAAAATAAAATTATTTTCTTTTTTTCTTTCTTTCTCTTTTCTTTTCTTTTCTTTTTCTCTTTTCTTGGACTTTTTTTCTTTTTCTTTCCCCAGTCTTCCATAGAATTGCTGCTACCAAAAACACAGGCGCTTGGAGTTCAAGAGAGACAAGATGTGTTAGAATGAAAAGTACTTGCTGGTTGGTTGTTTAGTTGGTTGGTTGGTTATTGCTGCTGCTGCTAAATATCCTTTTGGCTCTTTATCTTGGCTGCCAAGAAATCGGGGATGTAGGGGAGGTTGTGCAGTGTGGGGAGTTAGTTGGTTGGCTGGGAGAAGTGATTTTTTACTTGGTGGGTGAGCAAAGGGGCAGTATGCTTCAGAAGAGAAACTAAAAGATCTATTGTGTTGGCTTGCAAAATTTTTGGTCCGGGGGTGTGTGCGTCGAGGGAGGGTGGAGGGAAGAGAGTTTGGATGGTAGAGGCAGCTGGCCCGTGAGTGGGCAGTAATGGCAAAGAGAGGAGAACTATGATAATTTTTTTTTTTTTTGCCTCAGCTGTAGGCACCAAGTTGAAAAATAAGTCCGTCTACGAAAGAGCCAATTGTTTTTTAGAAAGATGTGTAGCGAACTTGGGCGGCGGGAGGTTTGTGGCGGGAAAGTGAGGGGTTGTGGCGGGAAAGCGTGCCTGTTGGGAGGGAGGGAGAAAGAAAGAGAGAAACGAAGGTCATCGCCGCTTATACACAGACAGACGTTGGCTAGTTGTGTAGAGGGTGCTGTAATGTAGGTAGTCGGGCAGAAATACTGAGGCTGATGTTGCTGCCGACCTGACTGTGATACTACTGTAGTTATCTCTGCTATCCATTGCAATTGGTTACTGCTTTTAGTCCATGGCTTCTTCCTCGGAAAAATATGTCAGTTTTGTGTGGTGTATGTATTTATAATCTTCTTGTGTATTTAGCAGGTTGCATTCCTGAAGTAATGTGCCTGAAATCAGAAAAAAAAAAAGAAAAAAAAAAAGACAGAGCGAGAAGGAAACAGTTATGTTTTTTAGTGCTTCATATATATATATAAAACCCGTGTTTTATGGTAATTTCGACATGTGAAATTTTTCTTCTCATGCATTGTATTTTATTAGGCTGATGCAAAAGTTTCCGGAATTTTTCTGTGATAGAATCTTTTATTCTTCATATGGTGATCAAATAGAAATCGCCATGATTTTATAAATGTCAATTCTTGTCATGATTAATAAATATTAATTAAATTCAGTCGTCGATTTCACCTGGCTTTCAATGACCTTGTGCCAGCTTACAAATATTTGTGTGGATGTAAATATTCTCAGCATTTTTGTACAGAATCTCTTATTTATATAAATGCATAGCATCATTATTAATTCAGTCATTAAACTTAAAATGTTTTTTCTGCATTTCTCTGACCTTATGTCACCTTATTGGTTAAAAAATTGTATTTTGCATCATGATGCAAAAGTAATTTTTGATAAAATTTTCTATTCCTATAAATTCATAGCATCAAATTCAATTCAGTCATCAAAATATTTTGCTTTTCTGTATTCTTTTTTAGATAATTTGCATTTTTCATCATATTTTCATAAGTTTACAGAATTTTTCAGATAAATGCTTTTATTCGTATAAATTCAGGGCACCATTATTTGGTCATCAAAGTTTTTCCCTTGGCTTTATCTGGCCGTATGCCACCTTACCGATAAAGTACAATGCAAAGATTACCAGCATTTTTTAGATGTAATTTTTTATTCATATAAATTCTTTATTCAGTCATCAACAAAGTATTTACCTTGACATTCTATGATGCTATGCCAATTTTCAGCTAATTTGTGTAGTCCATCACAAAAATGATTCCAGTTTTGCATTGAAGAATTCTTTGATATTTTCAGTCTGTTAGGAATTGCTTGCAAGATATGTTGCATGCAATAAGTGAGAATCAAAAAGTAAAAGGACAGAGTGAAATATGCCTCACGAGGAAGAACTTCTCATGACACTTCCCTAATTATTTACATTATTCGGACTGTTATCCTCATCTTCATTGCCATATTCACAACGTTTTGGCTGTTGTATGCTCTGGCTTTCTTCAGGTGATTGGAATTTCGAACTGAACCCTTTATTTCGTTCCCCGGAGTAGACTGTTCCAGTTCCACATGCCAGGCCTCTTCTGGATGTTTTAGTTATTTCCCTTTAACTCAACTCTCCAAGATGAGGATAACAGTCCCAATAATATAAATAATCAGAATACCTCATTTCAGAGATATAGACAGATACTTCTCTAATTGTTTTTTTTTTTATGTTAGATTTGCAATCTTCTGAGGATGAATAGAATCACCTGATTTTTTTGGCCCAGAAAAACCTTTCAAATGAGCCAATTGCTCATTGCAGCATTTCAGATAAATTAATTGAAACAACTACTTTAGTTTCCTTTCTTTCACTATACGGTCAGTTTTAGACCCACTGGAATGACAAGGTGTAATCAATTTTTATTTTTTCCTCAGATTAGGTCATTTGCAGTGGTGTGCAGTAATATGAATCTATTTTTGGGGTGTATGTTGAAATTTGTTTGGCCTTGAAAAATATTGCGTCATCCGTGATTGCATCAGATTTTTGTCATTCCCAGACACTATTGTCTCGACTGTGGATTAGTTGTTCTACGGCCATTTTCTGTGAACATTACTCCAAGGAAGCGTATAAAAATTGTAATGCTGCATGAAAACACTGGTAAGCCTTACCAGTGAGCAAATCAAAGTACTATAGATTGGCCCAGAAACTCTCCTGATTTAAATCCAATCGAGAATCAGTGGTCAGTCTGCAAGAAACGATTTTGTGGAATGGACATAGAAAGTACTAAAATGTGCACTGGGTCCTGTTTCCTTGGTTTGGTTTGATTTGTTTTGCTGCATATCAACCACAATGCCGACAAAATTTCCTTTTTTTTTCAAAAATGTATAGCTGGTAATATTTTTTTCAAAAATGTATAGTTTGTTTTGCTTGGGGCATATCAACCTCAATGGGTTATTTAATGCTGACAAGATTTTTTATTTCTAGTAATATTTTCTTTTTTCAAATATTTATTGCTGATACTAATAAAAAAAAGTATTTCTGGTATTAAAATCTATTTTTACACTTTCATAGTGTTTTGAGTCAGGTTGTGGGGTCAACTATTTGCCCATAGCTGGGACCCTAACAGGTGCTGCCACCCTGGGTTAGGGTGGACCTAGGAACACCAGCAATTAAGAGGTGATTCCACGCTCCTCAAAACCTCCTGGTCAGAGGCCTTACTGTTGGATGTAGTTTATCGTCATACCCAGGATGGCCTGTTTCATTCGAAAAATATGAAAAAGAAGTAAATAATAACAGAATTATTTGTTTTGTGTCTATTAATTTGCACAAGGATGTAGCATTTTTATATTTTTTTAATACAGCAAGCTTTATAAGTAGCTATATAAAAAAAAAATTACCAGCCTACCTTGTGTTTGAAATACCAGTGTACAATACTTCCTCAATTATCTGAACACTTTGAGATACAGATTGAAAAAAATATGTGCAGATAATCCCAAATTGAATACTGTAATTATTGAAAAAGACTGAAGACAATAATCATTTTCTGAAAGAAATTCAACATTTATTTCATCAAATGACATTTTTTAAATGCTTTGTTCAAGATTTTGTTCAGCTTTCAGACTAACAATGATGTAAAATGGAAAGATTATATTGAATCAATTGCTAAGTCTGCAGCTAGGAAAGTTCGTTCACTGTGTCAAGCACAACAATTTTCCTTACCAGAATCTTACATATTGATAAGTTTACCATTCATCCTTGCTTTGAATATTTCTGTCAGATCTCGTCTGGTGCCTCTGCTATGTATTTAGAGATTCTTGATAAAATCCAAAGTAGAATCTGCAATGTTATTGGTCCTGATCTGACTTATTGGCTTCAGTCACTTTTCCACTGCTATAAAATATAGCTTTCCCCATGCGTTTTCTATAAATATTTTCCTGGTAATTGTCCTGATGACCTTTCCTCTTTGTTACCAAGACTTTATGAATATAATAAGCGCAGTACTAGATTTCTTCTGTCTTCTTGTGGAACTCTCTTCTGTCTTCTTACTTCCAAGTCATTGATATTCAAAAATTTAAATGCAATGTCAATCATTATCTTCTGTCTTCTTAATTCTTGTTCTTTTATTGTCTCTTCTCCTTAATAGTATATCTTTCTCATATTCTCTAACACTCAGTAATTTCTTGTGGTCTTAGTGGCTTTATTGCCTTAAAAAAAAATGTTTATTATTTTTATGTAAAAATGCATCTTTTTCCATCTGGCATTGTGTTTTTCTGTTGCTAACCTCCAAAGCTGGATTAAAATAGTCGTATTTTAAAAAAAATTTTTGTCTGCTGCCCTGGGGAAGCACTTACTATGCAGCTAAGGAAAGGATCGTTTGCACTGATTCAATGATCCCAACTGCAGCCGATTCCTATATATTTTTTCAAATCTAGAGTATGGCTTCCAAAATTCTCAAAGATGTTCGTCTCGGACAAAATATTAGAATTGGTTTAGTTTTGGATAATTGCAAAACGTTTGAATGATTTAAATTTTTCCCTTCATTTCACATCCAGATAATTGAATTTCAGAAAAATCAAGGTATGAATAATCAAAGAAGTACTGTATTTTTGACTAGTCATAGGTGGGGGTCTGCATTTAGAAAAAACACCAGGATTTCAAATGTTGATATTTTTTTGTTGGAGGATTAGCATGATATAATCTTTATTTGCTTAGAACTAATCCAAATCTATATTAATTTTCAGATATTATTGCAAGATTATCACAATTGTTGTGAGGAATAACAATGGATTAAACAGATCATCCTTAGTAATCCTAATAATGAGAATTAAGGTATTGTAGGGGTTGGATGTGTGAGTACCATAATGATCATTGGTACAGAGGAATTGGTGAGTTGAGTTCAGATTCCTAACTAGTCTGTTATATTCACTTTTGCACTAATGGCCTGGGG